ATTAATGATGATTTATATTTTATAAAATTAATAATACATTTATAACAATTATAACAAGTGTAAACTAATAAGAGTTGTATTATAAATTACTATACCAATTGTTTTAAATGTTTACATACATATACAAATATAATGTTGCCATGTTGGTATGATTGTTCTGTACAAACATTTGTAGCTTGTTGTATACATGATTTAGGAACAAACATTTTTATTTAATTAGTTTTACCTAGGTACTTATAAAAAGTAACGATTTATAACACTRTTATCCAAGAACTGAAAAGGCCTTTAGCCGGTATCATACAGTCTCAAATAATTCACGAACTAGGTACTACAAAGTAGTTCATGAAATAATTAATGTAGGTGCTATTTTTCTTTGTTTTACTATCTTTGAGTGGCTATGATATCTGCTACATAACAGAAACCTTTGTGATACAAAAGATATCTCTTCTTTCGGGCTGTCACACCTAATGTTAGAATTATTAAGTTCCAATGTTATGTTGTTAGCTTGAATATTAAATTGAATTAACTTAATAATTATTATCAATCTTAAAGCCTGATATAATGTTTATAATTTTATGATCTCTCGTAGGTTTTGTACGATATTTTAATTTTTAACCGAGTTATGAGTTATAAAAAAATATTTTTTTTTTTGTTGTAAAATATTTATTTATACGATTTGTGAATGTGGAGTGTTTTTTTTTAAGTATAAGTGATATGGAAGTTATTGTGCTGAAAAACTTCTTGGAAGAATCMATCCAATAATATTAATATTTAAAATGTTAATAATTTGCTTAAAAATTAGTTGTAAAAACTTAATGAGAGAACACAGATAATGTTGTTATCAATAAGTTTGATAATAGGTCAATTCACTCTAATATTGTACCTAAAAACACAAACAATTGTTAGAGCTGTCGACACAARTTTGATAATATGCAGTCTATTTCTAAATGGTTGCATCAAATACGGGTGTGATATCCGTTTAAAATCAATTACCAACTACGAGTTATTACTTATTATTAATTTTACATTCTGTTGGTCGGTGTATTATTTAACTTTTGCTAGTAAATATTAAATATACACGTTGGCCACGTATGTCGTATGCTGCATAATTTTGATACTACATAGATATTAGATATTATTGACTATTGATAGTTGGATTATCATTTCCGGTATTTTATTATATATTTATGTATGTTAATTTTGGCCTTCAGATAATTACACATGTAAAATTAAATACAAAAGTCCGTTACTTATTTTAGCAAACCTATATTATWAACATTATATATGGAATAATTATTACATTTCACCGACATCGTAGGCGTATCTAGCGATAATAATAATGGGTTCTATATATTTTTTTTAAATTCGCGTGCATGTATAATATTCGATCAAGCCACTCGATCACTTCGCCTTTTTAAATAAATATGCTTTTGATACTTACTCCTTGATTGTAATAAGTACTTCTATCTATATTTATGCATAATTACTAATAAGTCAAGAATCAACATACCTTTGTAATGTGTACCAAAATAAATGGTTTGAACATAAAAATGAATATAATAATGTGTAAAGATGGTATCTAAGTATCTTTATGTATACATTTATTATTTATTTTATATTTGTGTACCACAATGTAATTACAATCACATGTATATCTAGTTTCTTTAAATTAAATTAAATTAAAGATTACATTGTTATTTACCAATGTAAACTATAATATAAAAGATATGTATTATAATCTAATCGATTGGTATACTAAAAATTTACTGAGGTGATTGTTGCACTAAATACTACTTATCAATAATATAAATTTCAACAATTAAAATTATATATAACTAAACCTAATCTATTTCATACTCTATTTAAACAAATTCATTAACTGTGTTAGTATATCAACACGTAACTAGTGGCTAATATCTAGATCGATAGTGTACCTATTGTACACTGGCTACTGGGTCAACATTTTGGTGTGCCTTCTCTACACAAATAAAAATATTTGTGAAACAATTACAAATAAATTAAACCAGAACCAAAAGGTTGTTTTTAATTCTATTTTTTTTTTTTTTTTTATAATATCAAAATGCTCAGTGGTAAATAATTGAAGGTAGAGAGCATGGGAATTAGTTTACATAATTTCTAATTTTAAATACCAAATGGGTACGTAAATTATCAAACAATAACGATCTATTACAATATTTAATTCAAGTGTTAAACCAAAATATTGAAATACATTTAATGAAACTGCCAACATTATACCAATACTTATATTATCATGATACGATAATTATAAAAATATTCACGATTGAAAAATCAATTAGGTAGTTACTAGTTAGAGWGCTATTGAGCGAATAACATTTTTTTTTTATTAACAGGTATATTTTACTTAGTATGACATTTTTTTATATTTTCAGAAATTAAGTCCGTACATATCTACGTATAGTACCAWTTGAACAATGTTTGGCGAATTCGATAGACCACGTGGATAAAAAAATGAAAATAATAACCGCCAAACGCGAACATTAGCAATATTATACAATGTAGGTGGGTATACAGCCAGGTAACCTAGCACAAAACATAATATTTGTATGGTATGCAGACAGAGGAGGGTGGAGCGCGCGCACTACACGGCCACACGGGACAATATTGGCCATACGGTTGTCGGTTACAGGCCCGTAGAGGTATAAGTATCGGAAATCGACGGAGAATCTACTCCGGTCAATAACACGCGGTGGGCACAATAAACAGCAGCAGACGTCCCCTATTCGCCTTCCGACAAAACGATCGTTATTATTTTCATACGTTTCATGCGATCTTGAAATCTACGAACGGGCGAAATGGCAAATATATACATCACAGCGGTATATCGTATTATGGGTATTATTGTTGTGCGTGTAGTTGTGTTTGTATAGTACACACCGTGTACCTACGCGCGACGACGTGTTCTTGCGCTCTTGCGGCACACGAGCGCTACCTATTGCCCCGCCGTCAACTAACACCGCCACACCGCCACACCGGACGAAGAAAAAGTGGAATTATTTATTTTTCGATTGTTCTCTCGCTGTACGCTGCCGCCGCGCCACGTAAGCAGGCATTCACATTTCACGCGCAGGCGGGCGGGCGGGCGGGCGGATACCTCTTGGCTCTCGGACGTGCCGGGATTTTCGCACACGTTTAACGCGCGTTGCTGCTGAAAATATGTTACAACTGTCGGACGTTGCCCCTCCCTCCCTTCCCACCCGCATCACCGCAAAACATCCCCGGCACTCCGCTACTCATCCGAGACCAACCCCTCACCCCCATCTGACACACCGTCGTAGGTCGACCGCACGAAAATTCGATATCGTTATTCGTTTTACGATTGCAAACGGTTTGCCACACCTATCATAATATCATCACTACGACGGTGGCGATGGAAAAATAATGTTAACAAAACTGTTATTGCATACGGATGTGAGGGCGTAACGACAATACTACAATAGCGCATAAACGACGTCGGCGTAGGTCCACGGCGCGATTCATAAATCGGCTGGATCGGCTTACGCGGCGGCGGTGTCGCCGTCGAGAGAACAGGCTACGAAGCTGAGGCCGGCGCAAGTGTTATCACCGGCGGCCATCGACGGTGTAGTAGTAGTTGAATGTAGTCGTACCGGTAGTCGGGGTAGGGGAACGTAAAATAAAAGCGCATAGAGGAATAAAAAATAAATAATAATAATWATAATAAAAAAACGTTTCTCGGACGCTGGACTTGTAATTCCGCACAATTGACAGCACTGGGTACAGATCAATTAAATGTATAAAAAAACTTATTCATCCCGAATGTTGTGCACGGGCAGAGCGGGACGGAACCGCCACTCTAGCACGCCCTCACCGCTGTCCCATCACTCACTCACTCGGTTCGATCTTCTCTCCCGCTCACTCTGTCCTCACGCTGGTCGTGGTATTGATGTTTCGCCGACGGCGTGGTTTTAAAATATAATTTCGTCGGCACTATAAGAGTATAAGATAACGWGTGCGTCTAGTGACACGACCCGTCGGGTTTTTGGCACGTCCTCCGGCGTTTCAACCGGTGGTCGTAACACGGACGCCATAAGCTCGCAGATTCGATGGCAACGCTTTGGTAGAAATCCGTAGATCTTATCGTCTAGGGAAACCGACGTTAAGACACGATATATACATTAATACATTATAATCCCTATGCGACGTGTACCTACGCACGCAATGGTCATAAGCCACACTGGTATTAATGTAATTGTATTATGGTCAGTAATGACGATAATTTTATGAAAATTATTCCCACAGGATTTCTGCTGTCCGTCGGACGCAATCTAACTAGGAAATKTTCAAAAGAGACGATCATATAAGCCGTACGACGACGACGACGACGACCACAGCGATAATTATTATCGTTACCGTCAAATCAAATCGTTATTACATGCCGTCAAATGTACGCATGTCGCATGTCATTTGGTACACCGCGGCTACGAATAGTCCGAAATCGGGTGGGCCATTCAGACGGGTAGCGAACGAGGGGTGATTAAGGCTGGTGCGGTGAGGAAGAGGGTGAGTGGCATCGCCCGTCCGTATACACGAGTATTATACATCCCAGCGCGCGCAGGCGCGTGTGTGTGCATGTGTGCGTAATATGTCATACAGACGGACGTGTAAAAACATTGTGGTCAAAGAAGAGAGTATAAACGACGGCGGCGGCGGAGACCGCCGCGACGATATACCGTATTATGCGTTATTGGTCAAATTATCATCCCGCCGGTACGGCTCCTAACGCGTCTTGCGATTTGCCGACACTTCCGATAGACGTCGGACGAAACGCCGAAGTCCCGACCAATCGTGTGTCGCGTTACGGGCTGCTCGTACACGCGTAAGCGCGACCCAAGATACAATGTCGACGCGGCGCGCGGGCGCGATCGCGACGCGCGTGTGTGTGTACCGTGTACGCGAGCGCTCGTACCCTACTCCGTCCCCGGCCTACCCCACCCATCGGAACCGGCAAATCGTCGACGGCGCCGCTCGCCGTCATGGTTTGTGTGTACGACGGGGCGCAGATCCTGTGCGTGCGGGCGTGAGTTCGTGAACACCGCGACGTACCGTCAGAGAGAGTGTGCGTTGTGTATGTGTTTATGTATTGGCGTGTGCGCGGATGTGTGCGTGCGTGTGCGTGTGTGAATTGCCGGTGGAGTTGCTTTTGACTGTTAAACCTTAAACGGGAATACATTTAATAATATTATAATTTAAAATAAAAATAAAACATAAATCATACAAATAAAACACAAATTAATGTCAACGCCAAAAAGTACAATATAGTTAGGTAGTATAATAGTATACCGTGAATGTAACCCAAATAGAGTAATAGTGATGGTAGTTGTGTGTCTAACCTACACGAAATTTAGAAATTTGAACGAATTACGAAAAATCTAAATACCATTGAAGATAGAACAGAGTCCGGGAACGTCGTCTCGCTCACGACACACGACGTGCAGTACAACTACTACACTACTACTACTACTACTACTACAACTACTACTACTATACTACTACTACCACACGGAATATTGTTTACCACTACTGCTACATAATACACACATCATATATACATACATAAACTATTATTATTATTATTATTATTATATTATTATCGTTGGTTGTAAAATTTTCGTTTCTTATCGACACGGATCTTTCGTTTGTGTTTGTCTCGTTCGCGAATTCGCGATAGACCTTGTACGGATTTTCACTGCCGTTGTAGTTCGGAAGTGAGTTTACACGCACGGGACTGGAATCGAACTCGAGTCGTTGCCGCCGCCGCCGCCGCGTAACATGCATTTTGGCCGCCGTCGCTGCAGTTGTTTCTACGTTAAAAGTGTCACGGCGCCTACATGAATGGTTGTCGTTCATGTTGTTGCCGCTTAGCTACGACGCCGCGATATCAATACACGACAGAAATTATGATGTGATTGTGTCGAGAGACTATGTCCGGTAAGTTTATTTTTCACCGTTTTTTCCTCCCGAACAACGATTACTGATAATTTAATAATCGCCCCGCGATTGTTTATCTATGTTGTTGTTATTATTATTATTTATTATTATTGCTTATTAGTTATTACTATTTACTGTTATTATCGTTATTATTGTTATCGTTGAACGGTTTATCGGGGCTTCTTCGTGAGCGTGTCGTACTCTCGTTATCCTGTTTTTGTTATGCTTTTCGATTTTGGCATTAATTCTAGGCGGTTTCAAATACGGATGGACCGAGTATTTTCGTAAAAAAAAAGCCGCGTCAGCGTGCTTTCGAATGCGTCTGTTTATATTAAATAATATATATATGCACTTGTAAATTAAATACGTTTGTATATGTATTCCATTATCCAATGAACATAATATTATATATATATATACATAATATTTATATGTATATGTATATATATACACACACACACTCGCATGGGTATACAGTTATACACGCATGTGTGTGTGTGGCTGTGCGTATGCGCGTGTGTGAGAGTACCGCCGCCGCCACCAACACCGCCACCGTCACCACTGCCGCCGCGCCGCCGCTGTAGTACTGTAGTAGTAATCGTAGTCGTCGTCGTCGTCGCCGTCGCCACCGCCGCCGCCGCCGCCGCCGCCGCTGTCGTCGTTTTGTTTGTTGTTTACACGATGGTGATGCACAACGCACAGGGATAGTGTACAACACGGACCGCAACCGTAAATGACGCAAACGACACGGAAGGGAAATAAATAAAACGCCGGGATCACCGTCCGATCGTTTCAGTTTTTCATGACATTTGGTCGTCCGGAACGCGTCCCGCCGCCGCCGTCGTCCCGTCGCGCCGCACGAACTTCGGCYGTAATTTGGTTTCTTCTACTCGCCGGATTCGCCGTTTGCGTGCGTACGTCTAATACCGTTCGCGCGGACACGATCGAGAGCACGCCGACGGGATACCACCCGTGTTTTGGTAAGATCCCGATTATACGTGTTTGCTTATTATTACTATTACTATTATGGTTGTTATTATGGCATTATTTTACTAACTGGATAAGTCTACCATGAGTTTTTTAATCTGGTCTCTTCCTGCTGTGAATTTTTTACATTGTATTTTTATCTCTGGCCGTCGCCAGCGTCTTCATTCTACAGTATACCAAAATGGAGGTATATTCTTCTGTCATGTTCAACTGCTGCAGAGTGATTTATTAATTTGTCAGGTGCTTAGATTACCTAATTTGTGTTATTACAAATCAAAACTGTTGTTAATTATTCTTTTCAATGTGACTATCTTTATGCAGGTTAGGTTAGGTTAGGTTAGGTAACCTTACCTAGTGCTTTTGCGAATATCCTTAATTTAATAAATTAGTCACTTTTCAAGTCTTTAAAACATTTCAATATGACCAAATAATTTTCAAATCACTTAATGATGTTGCCAGTCACAGCGATAAAAGTAATAAACATAAAAGTAAATAATCTACGAGTATTTACATTTAGGTTTTTACTTGGAATCTATTTACCTGTTAAGATCAATACAAGTATCTTAATACACCTATTTGCTATTCTATGTTTCATCTATGTAAATTACTCTATTGGTAATATGCATACCTACTACCTAGGTATAATAAGGTAATGTTTAAATATGAAATAGGTATTGTATGTGTGCAGTTATTTAATACCTAAGATATTATATAATTTTTACTAACACTTTTTGATCCACAGTTGTTAAAAGCATAGACCTTATAYTCATAGCCCAGTCCATCCGATATAAAGTATATAGATAGTCGCAGTGATGCAGCCCTTTTAGTATATATTTATATATACATATATTCAGTGTAACTGAAAAGTGCCACCTATGTAGAAATGTGAAGATGGTCGGTCTATTAGCAAAAGGTTTATGCCTTGTTTACACGTGACGAGTACTCGGCCGTGTCACTCGTTATGTTGCTCGGTCTTGGTAGTAGGGGTAGTCACTCGCCCGCTTATTTTACTTGTCCAATTACTAGGCCGAGTACTGGTTCCTTGAGTTCATACGGGACAGTGCTCAGCCGAGTACTCGTCACGTGTAAACAAGACATTATGGTTAAAAGCAATGTTTGAGTGATAAGTGATTACTGATTAACAATTTTTATGATTAAACAAATACACAATCAAAATATTTGAAAATTTAAAAATGAAATGTATTTGATTAGACATTTTAAATTTGTGTGTACTTAAATCATATTATAGGTAATTAGAAGATTATTCTTATGTATGCATGTATTAATAGTATTAAGTATAAGGTATATTATATTATCACCTATATTACCTACACTGTCAGGTCTATTTCAATATTGTTTAATATGTTCACTCAAAATTATCATTATTATATTGGTATCTAGCAGTGACGGCTCATGTGCTCTGAAAGTGGAAGGGCGATATAAAATTGCTTATTTATGGAAAGTATCGAATACAAATAATATTAATAATAATAATTTGTTTTAATCTGTTTAATAGTTTAATACATAAAAATTATTAATTATTATATATATTTTAAATTGTCAACACTTTTTTATAGATAGAATTGATTAGAGTTACGACCGCACAAAGTAAATACTAAATACGCAAGTTCGGAATCCGTGTATAACGGCCAACGGGCGATTAAAATCATCGCCCCGGCGGCAGTATTATTATTGTGTTCCCCCTTCTTAGTTTTTGTATTCCAATCATAGTAATGACGAGCGACTTTTAACATCGCATGTGCTGCTCGCCAATCCCGGAAAATTGTTATTGGTTATCGATTCTCAGAAGCTACAGCTTTGAATGATTTATTTTTAAACTCCCATAATCTGATAAAGTGATAATGTTTTCATAATAGGTATTAGTGTAAATGAAGGAAACACAATTTTTATTTTTGACAATATTATACTAAAATATAAATGAGAAATTTAATATTTAACTTGTAAATTGGTAATAAATGATAATTCTAGAAGGAGGCGATCGCCCCATCGCCCCTCTCTACGAGCCGCCACTGGTATCTAGCATAGATAGTTTATGACCTTTATTCAGGACAAGGGTGCGACCGTCCTCACATTTGAAGACTGAACTGCCAAATACAGTCAGACCTCTATATGACATCTAGTGGCTTTCTGATTAGTCACAATTATCTTTGATTATTTTATAAAGTTGTGCTAATTTTGTTTTAATTGTTGGTGTTAGTTATTTAATAGTAGTGATCTGAGAATACTAACAGTTATTGTTAGCCGACAAGTTCACTCTTAAACTGAATAAAGAATAAATAGGTATAGTATAAGTACCTACCGTATAATACAGAATATTATACATTTGAAGAATATAAATACAAACAGTTACCCAGTTAACTTCTAAACATTATCTAGATTCCACTCAAAATTATCTACACATCTAAACCCAACAATCTCATCACTCTCATCCAAAACTCTTCCTGGAAACCCTATACGTCGGTTGAAATGAAAATGGAGTAGARACTCAAATAAATCCACAATAAAATAATTAACATTGGRATCTATCAATGGATGGCCTCCCTTCTCATATTTATTATGTCTCACCTATAATTTTATCATTATATTTATTTATTGTGCTCCATTAACATAGATTGTGTTTATAAAAAAAAAAAGAATATAAATTGATTAATGGTCCAATAAACGTTAGTGGTCCACTAAATTTAGTAAACCATAAGTTAAAAATTTAATCAACTTTTTATGTAACTCATCAGTTTAAATTGTTGTAATTTTATTCAATATAGGTACCTACTCTTGTCTTCACTTCTTCAGAATTCTTAATACTGAAAATTAAAATCTTGTCATATTACCTATATTAACATCAATATCTTCCTGTTATTCAAGATAATATTCAAAAAAAAATTCTAAAAATGTTTATAAATTATTATAAATTAGTATTTATAATTTACTTTTACTTTGACTTTTACTGATTTTTACTAGTATTAGTCACCAATTCGCTGTATAGAGTAGATTCATGCACCCAGATCTATTGTACCTAAACATTTATGAACCGATTTACAACACCCTTTACACCCAATTCCTAAATAGGTACACTTCTCCAAATGTCTTGAAGCACCATATCTTTAAGAAGAGTACCAATTTAAAAAAAAAAATTCAACCTTAATGAATTTATGGTAAATAAATAAATTTATTTTTATTTTTTAAATTATGTATTTCCATAATATTTTATGTACCTAAACTCACAAATTCTTAACTTTTTTATTTGGTACCTATAAAAACATTTTAAATATTCATATAAAGACCTACCTAATCAGTAGGGCTCGGAAGTTGATGACCTTAAAAACAATAAAAAATGCCCTAAAAAATATGTTAAAATTACATAAAAATGGCAAAAAATGACCTAAAAATTACAAATATTAATATTATACATTTTTTTTAAAAATGACAAAAATGTCCTTAAAATAGGAAGATAAAAAAATAAAAAATATTTGTTTTATAAATTTATCAAAGCTTACAAATTATTTAAAAATTAAAATCATTGCATTCCACAATTAGAGCGTATTTTAAGTTATCGAAAGTAATTGAACGACGATTATCTGTTAATAAATATTTATAATTGGAAAAAAATTTCTCTCTACGTCTACTGAAGTGATTGGGGCAAATCTGAAATGTACCAAATCATCAGTTAAAATGACTAAAACTGTGGGAAAATGACTTAAAAATTTCAAAAAATGACTTAAAAAGTAATAAACACCAAAAAATGCAAAATAAAAATTAGTTATTCAGATTCACATGCTTATGAAACAGATTTGTAGCCAGGAGAGTATCGTCTAAAAAGTTCCAAAAAAAATGTAAAATGCATCAACTTCCGAGCCCTACTAATCAGTATCATCTATAACAGTGGTCACCAATTAATATTTTCCGCAGGCCACATTAAGAATTAGGAAAATTCTCGCGGGCCATAAAAATTCTAAGTAMATAATATTTATTATAATATGCCGGTTGGCCAAAAATATTGTATTTCTAAATAAAAAAATCTATACTTATTAATTATTTAACTAAAACTAATGTAAATATAATTAAATTATTGGCTTTTTCTCTCAGTCTGCGGGCCGCCATTTGATGACCCCGKATCTATAACAACAGCCAAAGGACAGTAATAAATATGTTGCTATAATGCTAAATGCTGTAGTATAAAATGTAAATATGAATAAACAGAATTTTTCTAGGGCCTTAAAATTGATGTTGTTGTACCACATATGTTGAATCGAGTGTTGAATATATTATAATATCTGGTGTTGATATAATAGACATTAGTTGAATTTTGAAATCAGTTTTTGGAACACCAATTAAATAATTTTTTGATCTTTTTTACTACAACCAAAACTAAAAGCTTACACAAATGTAAGTCTTAGAATTAAATTAACTGTTGACAAAACCTAAACTAAAATCAAATAGTAGATACACTGAATATAGTTCATTAGGTAGCATGGCCATAAAAAAATTATAAATTGAGAGCAGGCACTCAATTTTTCTAAAATCAGAATTAAATCTTAAAACTGTTATTGGGTTCAAACTCTGCTTCAAGTTTTACCAATTTATGTTACCACAAAGTATGGAGTTAATATATGTAATTGAAATTTAATATATAAGAGTGTAAGACTACTAAAATAACAAGTTTTTATAAATTAATATAGGCACCTATTGATGATATTGAAGTATAAATATAAATAAAATGTTTTAGTACTGTATGAACACTTACAAATATAAGGAAGGTTAAACCATAATGAAACAGTGATAAGTGAATCTCAAATTTTAATTTTATAAGTACTACTTTTATACAATATTTTAAGGTTTTCAAGTCYGTATTATTTATTTAACTTTTGGGCGCTTAAAAGAGAAGTACTGGTTATAGCTATCTATTAAAAATTCTTTTTAATCAAGTGATATATGTATGCATACAGTATATGCATCAATTTTGTTCTACCAAATTCGATTAAGCCAACATGAAATAAATAGTAAGTATCTATAATGGTTCTTAAAAAATTGTGCTCATTTATAYTGTACAAGATACTAGGTACCATACATAAGAAATAATATTGAAAATTATATCCGCATATAAATCTAGCATCATTATTTATCTAGGAAGGTTTAGAGAAAAAAATGCTAGTTACAAGCATACTAAATGAGCTTGTACGTTGTTTGATTTTCTCTAATGCCAAAATCTAAGATAATAGTAACTAACCTAACCTCCACTCTTGGTGGCAAAATACAGGTGGTTGAGTAAAGGTAGTAGTGTTTATATCATGGATAATTTTGTTCATTGGCCTCAAGATTTTTATTCTGTTTAGCGTGATTAAAAATAATCCTACTTTAGCCAAAATTCCAACTAAAAATAAATAAATAAATATTTGTTTAAAAAAAAACTAATACATTATTTTTGGATATAGTATATATGAAGAAATGAAATTATTTGAGCTGTATACATACTACTCATTATGCAGTTATAATATTTAACTTTATTATTTAATAAAAGTTATATAATATAAAAGTTTGAGTTCAAAAGATAACTACTTTTTCTACCTAATTTTAAATAATTCCACCTTAATTAAATTTTACTATTCAATTCTATCAAGTACATGCAATTAAAAAACAAAAAATTACTTATTAGTTGTTAACAAGAAGTAATTTATCAATACTTTATCTGTTTTATTTACATTATATAATTTTAACGTGTTTATAATTATTTAAAATCTACTTTTAAAACCATTACTTATTTTTTTCATTCTAAAATAATATTAAAATTTTTATTTAGGTGCCTATGCAATATGATATAAGATATAGAGAGATAGATGGATCAATTGAACTTATCCTTTTTTTATTTGTATAATGAGAAATACATTTTCATTAAGTTTTAATGTYCCTATATTAGTAGTTTAATATACATTGTGTTCATAAAGTTTGCAAGTAGTATTAGACTTATTAGGACTGATAAATGATATGTGATATAATTAATCWGGTGATTAAATGTTTTACCTAATAAATGTACATCAGTGTTATCTGTTGTTGCTATATGTAGGTAGATATAAAAATATGCAATTAAAGAGTACCCAATTTTTTGAATACCTTGTAACCATATTTTTACATGTTATAGTTTAATTTTAATATATATTGAGGAAATTGATTAAAATTGATTTATTTATTTATTTATTTTTTTTTATGGTTAGGGCTATGACAACTGAGGTCATTAGCCTGGGGAACTGTAGGGGAAGGTACTGTAAGGTTTTAACTCGTGGGGTTTTTTGGCAGAATTTTGAATGGGCACCCGTGGGTTTTTGCCATGCCCGGTTGGGGGCCGGCGGCCTCTCTCCAGACATCGCGAAATGCCCAAAGAGCGATKCCGCCCGTGACCGAGATTCGAACCGGCGACTGCGTGCGTCGCAACCGACGCCTTAGTCCGCTCGGCCACTCCACCCCCTAAAATTTATTTTGCAAAGTTAATAAAGCATTATATTTAAATGGGGTTTTCTAGTAAATAGATTTCAAAATAATTTAAATTAAAAAATATTATTTTTGATGTGTAAATATATTTAATACTAACTTATTTAGATAATATAGCTATTAGGTTCTGGTATTTAAATAATAATAATAATAATAATGGAAAAGTGATAAAACATTAAAATATTTAAATTAAAGTTTCTACTGATAAATAAATATAAATATACGATTCAGATGATCAGTGTACACTATTTATGCTTACATAAGTTAGTAGCAATTCAAATTAATTTAAAAACAGAATCAATAAATACTGTGATGTATTCTGGATAAAATKATTGGGTAACTTTTATTAATCGATTAATTAACTTTTCTATTGAATACCTATTTCACAGATTTTACTGACAATTAAATATCAGCTAATATTTTCTTGTATTTTTAAGACTACTCCTTACAAAATTGTACCTATGTAATTTTATATAAATTGGTTTAAATTGATTTCATCTAATTRGGTACTGGGTACCTACCTAATTTACATAATATTATACTTAAACAAAATCTGTGTTGCTGCAAGGTTTCAGATCGTTATCAACAATCTTAGATAACCGATAACTGTCAATCGTTTTATTTTGATATAATGGTAAATTGCAACCATTTTTAAAAAGATAACTAAAAGTTAACTTTTAATAGTTAAAGATCAGCTGATAAAGTTTTAAGCTTTATCTTTTTCAGATATACATAAAGATTGTTTTTAAGGTGTACACAGTATATATATATATATTATGTATATTGATGAAAGTGTATAAATGAATGATCAATTGTGATTGCATTTGTGCGTCGTTTGATTTATTATCTATCTGCCAAAAAGTTATTTAAATTTTTTTTATGTTATGATTTTGACTATAATAAATTAAATACGTCATAAAAGTAATTTAATTATCTGATATACTATGATTGTTAGTGAAATTTCAATATAAAATTATAACAGACTTTAGATTTGGTTAAGGATTTTGTTTTTCGATAAAAGGTTGTTTCTATAATTGGTATCACATGAACAATAATAATAATGTAAAATAAATATGCCTATATCTATAGATCTCAATATTTATTATACAAGTCTTAGGGGGAAAAAATTATCAAGTAAATCATTTAGGTATTTGTTGACAAATCATTTTTATTTTTTTTCATTTAGGTTCTCTTTAATTAATAGATTATATTTAATTGCGTAATATTTTTAAGCTTAACAACCTTGTAAACCATAAAACTGTCTGAAAATTTATTTTCAAAATATGTGGTTTAACTGTTATTTTTTAAACCTCAAACCTTAATTTATGCGTTTTATTACCTACTTATTTTTTTTCATGCTAGAAACTAGAATTTAAGTAAATTTAAAAATATATAGATTTTAGCATTTATAGATATTTGATTGATAAAATACTTCTATTCCACCCACATTTTTTTTTTGTAATATATATTATAAGTTTGTATAAATATTAGTACATAAAAATAGGATTGTTAACATTTTTAACATTAAGTTTAAAATAAATTAGTTCTTTATAATTTGGGTTTGCTGAAAGAGGAAAAGTTATAACGGTTATGTTCATAATAACAGTCGTAAGCGTATAGCTTTTCCCCTTTTAGTGTATTCACATCAACAATCAACATTCAAAATTTTTTATAATAAGAAACTTGTCATTTTTATACATCAACTGCATCTTTAAACTATTTTTAAATTTGTATAGTTGAAACGTTTATTTGTATAATTTATTTTTATTTTGAGCCAAATTAATTTCTATTTTTTTTTTGTTCTAGGAAATAAATCCAAAACTGATTAATTTCAATTACGTCAAACAATGTCAGACGGCGACACCAATGAAGATCTGCTAAATAGCAGTATTTAGTTGGTTCAGAAGATTATGGATTCATATGAGTTGTTTGGAGAGGATGTGGGTGGAAACATGTTGGAAGGTTTATCTGAATTGGGAGGAGATAATTTCACAGATGTGGCTGGCCGTGGAAGTCAACCCCCTGCAAATACAGGTTATGCCCAATCGCAACCATATCAGTTACCTGGAGAAATGCATGGTCACCAAGGGGAGTCTCCACTACAAAAACTTGCATCATTTGGACCCCCAAGTGGTACAGGGCCAAGTGCACCGGATTACAACCCTGGTAATCACATGGATCATTTTCATACTAATCACTCTGGATCAGCTTATGGAGCAAGTAGGGTTTCTTCAGGTCTAAGACCTAATTTAGGACAATCTGGACCGCCACAGTATTCACCTTACTCAGATGCTGCTGCAGGCATGTATGGTGCCACTGATCAAGCTGCTCTACAAGCTTGGTCTAATTATCCTGCTCCAGGTATTAGTAGGCATTATCCACACATAGCTCAACCATCTTACAGACAACACATGAGTTATCAACAACAACCCAGTCAAGAAAATCAACAGAAACCGGGCCAGTATGTATCTATGATGACTTCACATCAAACTCCATCTAGTGTTTATTCGCGAAGTCAACAACAATCAATGGCGCCTTATCAAAATATGATGTATTCTAATACTTCACCAGGGTATTCTGCTTATGGTCATCAACAGAACACTACTACTGTTTCTTCACGGATACCACCACATCACATGCAACAATATCCACAACAACAAATGCAAATGCCTGAAATTCCTAATCCTCAAGCTCCGTCAAACTACAATCATTTACAAACMCAAATGACTTCTCATCCAGCATTTTCACAGCAACCTCAACCACCTCAACAACAACAATCTCAACCACAACAACCACAACAACAAATGCCACAAAGATCATTAGGAATCGATGTACCTAGTAATCCTTCTTATGGACCACCTAGTGGGGGTAACCAAAGTAAACCTCATACTTCTCAAGGAGGAAGTCCTCAGCCACAATACCGTGCACAGTTTCCCCAACTGTCACCCCAAATGTCTCCACGACCTCAAATGTCACCTAGACCACAAATGTCTCCAAGGCCTGTAATGTCACCAGCAAAACCAACAACACATTCACCACATCCTCATTCCGCTCAATCTAATATGTCTCCGAGGCCTGCTACAGCATTAACCCCAAAAGCAGTGGCTACTTCTAGCCCATCTCCTTATGCTCAACAGAGTACCCTTCAACAACTTGAACAAATGGTGATGCCTACAGTTAATACTAACCCAACCACCGATTACCCAGGATATAGAAGTGGCTTACAAGCTAATACTTCACCTCATTGGCAGTCAGCACCAAGACCTCCACATAACGGAGGAATGGTTTCTCAAAATATTAATGACCAAGGATTACCGGTTTATTCAGCAATGCCATCTGAAGACCAAAATCTGGATTCTTCTAAATCCCAATCTAATTCTAATTCTAGTGGTAATTTAAATATGAATAATATACCTAATATGGGTGAACCAAATTCTATTCCAAATCAAAATAATCTCGATTATCCACCTAACGCACAAAATAAATATACCATTTTAGAACCGCAACACATTCCTGTTTCACATTCTGCAGATATGCCTCCAACATTAGAACCACAAACAAATATACCACCAGCACAACAGCAGCAACAATTACAGCCAACAAATCAGAACCCAAGTTCAATGGAACATATGGGATCTAACAGTATGACTTCTACTAGTATAGGTTATAATGACTCAATGTCACAGTATCAAAATGGTAATAAAATGGAAGAAATGATCAACAATCAACCAACTGATGCACCTCAACAGATACAACATTCCCAAGCTTCGATGTACGATCCTAGAGGCCCTCCACCTCCAGGAATGTACCATTCTTCACCAATTAGTCACCAACAAGAAATGGCTGCATTACAACAGCAACTTCAAGAATTATATTGTATGCCACCTTCTGGGCCTGATCATCAATTAAGGGTACTTATGATATTTATATTTATATATTTAATTCTCAAATAAGTATAAACATGAAAAATATTATAAAGCTGATTATATACTAGTGTGTATGAGGACATTAAGTTTCAATTAGATAAATGTTTTGTGTTTTATAGCCTCATAGAGTCATAGGTTATGATGATAAAATATTCAAAAAGCATTAAGTTTTTAATTATTAAAAAAAAACGCACTGTGTTTTCATATGAACTAAAATTGTATGTGTATGTTTGTCTAGATAAATCATATTCAAGACAGAATATCCATTCTGCAACAACATGAGGCAAATGATCAATGTATGGGTGGTGTACACTGTCCAGTTGTCAACCCTATGTATCAACCTGCTATAATGGAACCGGCTGTACCAGTGGTATGAATTTTTAATTTTTTTAATTTTTATGAAATTACTTATAATTAAAAACTAATATAGGTGTCTGGACGTGGAAGAGGAAGAGGGCGTGGAAGAGGAAGAGGTACTACTTCAGGTGAAGGCCGAGGGACACCCAGACCTAGAAAAAGCAGGAAAAAAGCCCAAGAGCCTGAACAAATTCCATTTTCTCCTCCTTTATTACAACCAGAAATGCCAACACATCCAATGGTGCCACAAGATATGATGCCATTGCATATGAATATGAGTCCTGGTATGCCTCAACCTCATCATATGATGGCTCCCGGAATACCACATATGGGAATGCCACCTAACCCCATGCATCATGAACATATACCGCAATCGTCTATGTATAATAATTCAGATGCTTCATATCATCACCATATGCAGTCCTTAGGATGTCCACCACAGCAACATGTGCCTCAACAACCTCCTCCACAACAGTTGCAACAGTTGCCTGTGCAGCAACCAATTATACCCTGCACTTCTGAGTCACAAATAGTATCAAATTCTGTTCCTTATCCAGAGCCTATGCCTCCAGTTCACCTTGAACAACCTATTCAAATATCTCCTGAACAACAACAGCAACAGCAACATCCTCCACCACAACAGCCACAACTAGAAGAATTGCAACAACAACAAATACAAGAACCACCAATAATGCCTCAGTCTCCAGTTGAATCAGAGTCATTATCGCGTGCTGAATCTCCTTTGGTGGAGCCAATAAACCAATCTCCTCCGCCACCTGAATCTGAAGTACTGTCACCACAAGCTCCAACAGAAGAGAAAAAAGATTCTGATCCTGATATTCAATCACCAATTGGAAGTCCTACTGTGGAAAAACCAGTCATAGATAATGATAATACTTCAGTTGTTTCTCATCAGTCTAGATCATTATCACCAGCGGAATTAAATGAACCACAATCTCTTGAACGAGATTGTTGGTCTGGTAGTGAACATGATCCTCCTCCACCAACATTGACCGCAGAAGTTTCACCTCCAACATCTCCAAAAGCTGAAAATGAAATAACTGAATCAAGTATTTTCAATTTCACTGAAGATGAAGAACCTCCCCCACCACTTCATTCATTATCTGATGGATCTCCTCGGAAATTAAAAGCACTAACAAAGTATTTAATTTGATTTGTAATCTCTAATCATATACATGTTATTGTTAATTATTCTTTATATTAATTTTAGAACGAAAAAATCACAATCTCCAAAAACAAAAAAGCCTAAAGCAACTAAAGTTCCTAAATCTAAAGCAAAAGATCGTAAGAAAAAAGAAATTACTTTAGAACCTGAAACAGTTGAAGAAACTCCTCTTCCTCCTCCTCCAAAGCCTAAAAGGTTAATTTAATTTTTATTTAACTAGCTATTTGATGATATTTCATCATTGATGAAATGTTATCATATTTTATTTAGTTATTTTTTCAATTTAAGTTTGCGAATGTTTTTGTCAATATCTGTTAATTACAAAAACATTTTATTTTGAACGTAATTGATTTAAATAAGTTTTTAAAAATAATATGGTATAATTTACTGTTTAGACAATCAAAAAAAAAGAAAAACACTACACCTGAAAATAAAGTATCTGAAGACATAGATAAAAGTAAAAATACATTGGAAATAAAGCAAGAGGGAGTAATTGATGAAATTTCTCCTGATGAACTGGAAAGTAAAGTCGACGAAACAGTCGAAAAAGAGTTGGATGATACTGAGCTCGATACAAATCTCGAGAAGAATGATAAAGAAGCTATAGCTGATGAATCACTTGCAGACGTAGAGTCATTATCTGAAAGTCAACCAGAGCAGCCAACTAAATCTTCAAAATCATCTAAACGTAGTACTGATCGAAAGTCAAAAAGTCGTAGCAGTCGTGCATCCAAGTATGTTATGAATATATATTTGTGTGTTATGTGTATGTATATTTTATAATTAAAGGTGAAACTTTTGGAATTTGTTTTGAAAGAAAGAGTGGAGGGTGGCTAGGATTGTATTAACAATGCAGAYCATGTTATTAATATATGATTTAAAGACAGGAAACTAAGCTCTCTACCCTAACACCATATCTTTGCTTATGCTTACAATATTAAATGTTTTTCATTTAAAATTTTTTTTATACCGTACTATTAATATTTATATAATTTACTTATAACAAGTAATTAGTATTTGAAATTTAATCATATTTAATTTGTGGTTACTTAAATAAAAACTAATGAGTTTTTTGTATTTTTATGCTATAGGCGTAAGAAACCTAAACCGCTGGTAACAAATGAGTCTGAAAATGATGAGCCTAATGTTACACCACCGCCGTCGCCTGAAGGGGATGATAATGTGAGTATCTGTAATTTATTATTTACATTTATTTGTCTTTTTTCTCTTACGTTTAGAATACATTTTTATTTTTTATTTTTTAAATAATTATTTACTCAATTTACTATATCTTAAGAATATTTAAAAACATATCAACTGTAAAAATATTTTGAAAATTATTTAGCTTTAAGGATCAAAATATTTGATATTAATTATAACAATAATAATTTAGCAAATAATTGTGAATAACAATTTTGTTCATATACTGCAAAAAAAAATTGAAATGCGATCTATTATAAAATGTGATCTATWATAATCTTCAAATTTTTTTTACAACTGTAAAAATATTTTTATTAATTAATAGAAACGAAGATCTGGTAGACATACACAAAGAAAAAAGTATGTGGATGACATCATGTTAGCTATGTCTGATGAGGATTCACGAAAATCTTCTTCTCCTCAACGTTCCAAAACCGCAGTTTCTGGTAATGTAAATGAAAATAAACAAACAAGTCAAGATAAAAATGGAAATGGAAGTAATTCCGTTAAGCCCAATATGGTATATATAGTAAGTAAATTGAATATTAAAAAAAAAAAATTGTTGTTTATATTTAGATTGTATAATAATAATTATGTATGATTTAAAAAATTTATAAATTTTAGAATGTAACCGATGAGGATTCAATGGTTGTTCAACACATATTAGCTGTTCGAAAAGGTACAAGAGAAGCTACCAATTTAAATAAAGATGATAAAAATTCAACTAGTGATAATGAAGGGGAAATTAAAAAAGAAATCGAAGAAGTTCAAAGTGATGAAAAATCAGATGAAAAACCTGATGTAAAATCTGAAAAGATGTCAGAAGACTTACCTGATGAAAAATCTGTTGTCAAACCTGAAGAATCTGATACAACTTTAAAAACAGAACGTGATGAATCTGTGAAAAATGATGAAACTGAACAAAATGCAGATGAAAATGAAGATGGTTCAAAGAAAACTATTGAAGTCGATGAATATTATGTTAAATATAGAAATTTTTCATACCTTCATTGTGAGTGGAAAACCGAGGAAGAATTATTGAAAGGTGACAAGAGAATTGCTGCTAAACTTAAAAGATTTAAACAAAAAATGGCAAATAATACTAATATTTTTGAAAATGTAAGTCATAAAGAAAGTTAGGGAAAAAACTGTTATTTATTTATAATATTTTATATTCATTTTAGCTCGAAGAAGAACCTTTCAATCCTGATTACATTGAAGTAGATCGTGTTCTTGATGTATCGGAACAATTAGAAGAACCAAATGCTGAAAAACCAACTAAGTACTATTTGGTTAAGTGGCGATCACTTCAATATGAAGACAGTACGTGGGAATTAGAACAAGACGTTGATCCAGCTAAAATTGAAGTTTTTGAAAGAATCAGATATACACCATCAAAAGATCAATGGAAGGTAAATTTACAAATATTGTTACTATGATGTTATTAATTAGTTTAATATGATGACTGTAGCCATGCTAATATGAATGTTTATATAATCGTATAAATATTTAACATATTGATAATATATTACGTCTGAATGTTACTTCTATATAGAACTCCTAAATTAATTAATTAAAATAATTATTTCATCAATATAATAGATAGTTTTATTAAAAATTATACAACTTAATGTAGTAAACAATATTTTTAGTTTTTAGTGTAATTGTTTTAAAAATTATGTTTTTTTTAGCCTAAGAAAAAACCATCTCCTAATGATTGGGTGAAATTAGATAAATCTCCTGTATATAAAAGCAACAACACTCTTAGAGAATATCAATTAGAAGGCCTTAACTGGTTACTTTTTTCTTGGTATAATGGGTAAGTTTGATATTAGTTAATTCATTATTTATGAAACAGTCTTAACTAATATTTAATAATAATTTATTACTYTAGACGCAATTGTATCTTGGCTGATGAAATGGGTCTTGGTAAAACAATACAATCATTAACATTTATTCATGCTGTTCATGAATATGGTGTGCGAGGTCCATTTTTAGTTATAGCTCCATTATCAACAATTCCAAATTGGCAAAGAGAGTTTGAAGCATGGACTGACTTGAATGTTATTGTTTACCATGGATCGTAAGTCTATTAAAAGTTATATTATATATGTATATGTTCCTACTGAAGTTAAATAATATTGAGTTATCATTAGTCAAGTTTTAAATAACTAAATCTTTAGTATTTATTAAAAAGAAAAATTAATTAAAATTTGGTTTGTAGATCTCATAGTAGAAATATGGTACAGCAATATGAAATGTATTATCGAAATGAAAAAGGGACTATTATCAAGGATATAACAAAATTTGATGTTCTTATTACAACGTTTGAGACCATTATATCTGATTGTATGGAACTTCGAGACATCRGTTGGCGACTATGTGTAATTGATGAAGCTCATCGTCTTAAAAATAGGAACTGTAAACTGTTAGAAGGGTTACGTGCATTAAACCTTGTAAGTTTTTTTTAATAGCTTTATGTTAGGTAAACAGCGATTTAACTATTTGTGTTCCTTAGTATTTATTTTCGTTTACTTTTAGGAACATAGGGTTTTATTGTCTGGAACACCACTACAAAATAATGTAAATGAACTATTTTCTTTACTTAATTTCCTCGAACCAACACAGTTTTCAAGCTGTGAAGATTTCTTACAAGAGTTYGGGGCTTTGAAATCTGAAACTGAAGTACAAAAACTTCAATTATTATTAAAGCCTATGATGTTAAGAAGATTAAAAGAAGATGTTGAAAAATCAATTGCYCCTAAAGAAGAAACTGTTGTTGAGGTAAGCTTAAATTTTTTTATTAATTACTGAATATTAATTAATGCATTTCCAGGTGGAATTGACCAACATTCAGAAAAAGTACTATAGAGGAATTTTAGAGAAAAATTTTTCATTTTTATCGAAGGGAACCACTTCAGCCAATGTACCTAACCTTATGAATACAATGATGGAATTAAGAAAATGTTGTATTCATCCTTATTTATTGAATGGTATTTGTTTGATGATGTTAATTTTTTTTAATTTTTTTATCTTTTAACTCATGTTTAAACATATTATTACTTACAGGCGCTGAAGACCAAATTCAATATGATTATCGTAATTTGAATGGTGATGATCCAGATGTTTATTATAAAGCTTTAATTCATTCATCTGGTAAAATGGTATTAATTGACAAATTGTTACCAAAACTCAAAGACAATGGACACAGAGTATTAATTTTTAGTCAGATGGTGCGATGCTTGGATATTATTGAAGATTATTTAGTGTATAGAAAGTAAGTTCTATCATTTTAAATTTGAATATTTTTAGTAATRACTTATTTTGTTTCTTAGATATCCGTTTGAAAGATTAGATGGTAGAATTCGAGGAAATTTACGTCAAGCTGCTATTGATAGATTTTGCAAACCTGACTCTGATAGATTTGTATTTTTATTGTGTACTAAAGCAGGAGGATTGGGTATTAATTTGACTGCTGCTGACACTGTTATTATTTACGATAGTGATTGGAATCCCCAAAACGATCTTCAGGTAAAATATTATAATGTTAGGTTAATGATCAGTTAAAAATACTGAATAGGAATAAATATTAATGTATTTGTAAAATAAATTCAAATTTTAGGCTCAAGCACGTTGTCATAGAATTGGTCAACAGAAAATGGTTAAAGTATATAGACTTTTATGTCGGAATACTTATGAAAGAGAAATGTTCAATAAAGCATCTTTAAAACTTGGGTTGGATAAAGCAATTCTTCAAAGTATGAATACTGCACAAGGAAAAGATTTAAACAACAAACAACTTACTAAAAAAGAAATTGAAGACTTATTAAAGAAAGGTTCAGAATTATATTTATTATAAATTGTTAGTTTTTTCAATAACACAAGTCATAATGATTTTAGGAGCTTATGGTGCTGTTATGGAAGAAGATAATGCAGGTGATAAATTTTGTGAAGAAGATATAGATCAGATTCTAAAACGTAGGACTCAAGTCATTACATTGGAAAGTGAAAAAGGATCTACTTTTTCAAAAGCAAGTTTTGCATCTAGTGGCATTCGACAAGATATTGATATTGATGATCCTGATTTTTGGAAAAAATGGGCCAGGAAAGCTGACATTGACACATCTGAAGGAGGAGATCAAGTATGTCAAACAATTGTTYTAAACTCTAATTGTTTTATTTTATAATTAATTTATCATTGTTTTGTTCACAGAATGATTTAGTTATATCAGAACCACGTCGACGTACACAAATTAAACGTTATGGTCATGATGAAGCTGTGATGGACATGTCAGAATTGGAATCATCTGGTTCTGCTGATAGTGATGTGGACAATAGTTTAGGAGTCGGTCGTGGAAGAGGTTAATTCTTACTTTTAATTATTTCATTATAGTTACATTATATTTTTTTTTTGTAACTGTTTCAATTGACCTAAAAATTAACATATTTAAATTTGTACAACCTTAATTTAATTATGTATAATTCAAAACTTGAAAGTTATAATAAATTTGATTTATAATTGTTAAGAGAAATTTTTAAATTATAGCCTCTAAACAATTTTATAAATTTAAATGATTTTATATATTTTATTTTTTCTTAGTAAAAAAAAAAAAAGATAAACAACATTGTATATATATATTTGTATTTATTAGGACGCCGGACTAGAAAAAGCAAAAAATTACGTACTAAATTTATACCAGATGATTATGTACCTAAAGATGGTGAAGTCGCCTATGGATGTTGGACCAGAAGTGAATGTTTTWAAGTTGAAAGGGGAATTTTAACTTTTGGGTTTGTATACTATTTTTAGTAAATTGTTTTAGTTATATTTTTTGAATTTATGTTTTGATATATAGTTGGAGTCGCTGGCCAGAAATMATTCAACATAATGACTTTCGTGAAGGGTGGAAAGAAAGTGATGTGGAGGATCTTGCTCGGATTGTTGTGAGTTATTCATGTAACATAAATTAATTATTTTATTTATTAATTATTAATATATTTTAAGTATGATTTTTGAGATGTTGAAATATTTATGTGACCRCACACTCCAGYAGTGGCGTAAATTGTATCTGGAGTCATTTTACCGCTTCTGCCACTGCTATGTGGGGACCTAAGGAAATTTATTATAGGCTATAAGATATCCATAATGCTTGTTGAGGAAGTGTGTTTGTAATAAATTGTCATTTGTGTATAGATATGTAGTAGAGACTATATATAGTTTTGCATGTTCACGAAATTTTTTGATTTTTTAATATGTTACGTACAATTATTATGTTTTGTCACTGATAAATTAATCAGTTTTTGTACCATCATGCTGTTCCATCCAATKATATGGTCTCAACCTAGAAATTTAATTAGTTCTGTTTATTTTGGTTATTTTTTTTTTAATCCAACTAAAAGTTTTCTAATTAATTTTTTCAAAGAATCAATTCGCTATTAAAGGTATTAGTATATAATATTTTTAAGTTAAATTTTGATAATTGTGTATTCACATTTATTTAAAAGCAGTTCTTACAATCTAAAAAAGACAATACAAAATATCCAAATCTTCTTTTCTTAATTCATATCGCCTGTTTGGTTTAAATATTAATTAGTCTTTCTTACATGATAAACTGTCTATTTCAAATATCTTTATCGAATTATGAAATATATGTTATTAATATGTTGCAATTTTTTTTATCATAGATTTTATATTGTTTGCGTTTCTATCGTGGGGATGAAAAAATACGGTCCTTTATTTGGGATCTCATTACACCAGATAATATTTCAACTGATGATTCTCCTTCTCATGGTGGTAAGTGTTATATCGATATTAATGTACCTAGTTGTTTGAATTTTATAACTTATGGTTTATGCACACATTAATCATATTATTTTTATTGAATTTTTCCATTTTCCTTATTCTTGTTTTTATTTTTTATTTTCGCATTTTTCAATAATTTTAGACAAGTTTCTTTTTTTCAAGTGATAATGTTTTTAATTTTCTTTTTGAGCCATAATAACCACTGTTTTATCACTGTCACACTCACATGATAAATGATTATATGAACAAACAGCATAGAACTAAAACTGAAATATATTGTATTGAGTTATCAAGGTTTAAGTTACAAATATGTACTTGATTATAATGATTAAGTTTTACTAAACAGGTCTTAATCAAAAAAATAATTGCCTTGATATATTTTTTTTAGTACTAAATTTGGATTAGAAATTTTGAAATATCAAAGTATTCTTGTCATTTTAAAAGGAATTTTAACTATTCAAGATATCGAGAGCTTTAAGTTATCAAGGTTTAAATTAATGACAGTTGAGTGTATAACCTACGCTAAAATATATGAACCAATATAAAATTTTTTAAATTAGGTTAGTACTTTTTTGCAAATTAAATAGTTGAACAAAAATTGATTCAATGGAGCTAATATTTTTTAAATAAAGAATATCAAATCCTTTATCAAGTTTTTAGAAATAAATATAAAATATAAATGATGTGTATGTGTTTTTGATTGTGTGAGGAAAGTGATACTGCAAATGCAGTTTTAACAAGAACAATAGATAAATTTCCATCAAAAAAAATTTTTTTTGTATGGTTAGTAGAGTTGTATGTATGTTAGAATGGCCGAATGTAACACCCGACCATTCCATTATTTTTTCCTTAGGTACCAGAAAAAAGAAGTTACCCTTCTAAAAGTAAACATTTTGTATCCAAATTAAATAATTTCACTTCGTTAATGCTGATATTATTGTCTTGCACCATTGAATTTAATAATTTTTACAATAATCATAAAACATATAAAACTAATATGCTATTTATAAAAATTTGTATATTTTGAAAATACCATGACCAAACACTATTTTAAATTCATTCTAATGCCTGTAAATCAGTTATTGAATATTAAATATAAACATGATCTCTTTAAATATAATTTTGAAATATTTTATAYAATAAAAAATAAAATAAACAGAATGATATAAATAAACTAAAACAACTACTTTTGTGTGATATTTTTTATCATTAGTGAACATTTACAAAAACTATCAAAAGATTAGTGATAATGTTTTTTTTATATTAACTGCTTAAAACAGCGGTTCCCAAACTTTTTTGTATCTTGGTGCTCTTTTTTGAAATAACTGGTTTACATGGTGCCCCTCTTAAAAAATATTGAAAAACCAGACAGATTTGTATTATATTCTATGAAAATATTTATTTAATTGTAATTATACATAATATGTTGTAAGACATTAGTTATATTAAGATTTAGGTATATATTTATTTGTACATATAAAATTAATAGGATGAATGATAATTCACGTGCAGCGCAGTACCCCTGTAAAGACACTATGGCGCTCCAGGGCGACACGRTGCACAGTTTAGGAAGTGCTGGCACATTTTGATTATAAAAAAATATATGATGATAAATAATAAATRTTTAATGAACCTTGAATAGATTGAGTTACATGAATGCAATCATAAGACATTTGAATTTAAAAAAAAAATACTAACTTTTTATTGATATTAATATAATATTAGTATTATTGTATGACTTATAAGCTACAATACTTAATAAAAATAATTCCTGGAATTATTGATCTAAGTTTTTAATTTTAAAGATTTTAAATTTTTTAGTTTTGAAATAACATATTTTCTTTTTGACAATTCTAATGAATGTATAATTGGTAATTAAATTATTATTATTGTTGTGCAATTCTGTGTGTATTATTATTAATATKTTTTATATTTATCATGCACAAAAAGATTTTTTAATGCTAATAAAAATTTTTAAATTATGAACCCCATTACTTCAATTATTAAATGACAAATTGAACAAAGTTTGAATCATATAGATTTGGAATTTTTAATGGGTGATAAAGTGCACGGGATTAGAATTATATAATATGTTAGCAGTTAGAACTTCATRAATTTTGAAAACACTAGTAAATAAATTTTATATAATTGTCTTTAATAAAAAAATTAGAAAGTATTATTTTTTTAAAAGATATTTCATATCAAAAAAAGGTACCTATAATTGATTGAAGAAAATTTGGTATTAAAAATTGTTTTAAAATGATTTTTAAATTTTCTATTAAGATTTTTATGATAAAAACCCAATAATGCCATTTTAAAATTATTTTCAGTCACATTTAGTTATATATAGTTATGAGGACGCCACACCCGTTTGTGTTGTCTCCGTCTAACAAATGTACAATATAGCAAAAATTGTTTGGCTCAGAATAGAATCACTCTGGCTGTAGTAATAGTTAATCCTCCCAATTGATATAGGTACAATATAGTTAGAGAAGTTAGAAAGGGTACCTGAACAAAAATGGTCTGTGTGGTATCAATAATATGTCCCTTTATTTTTTTTTACAAAATGAAACATTGTTTTAGTTTATTAACAATTTCATAAATCTCTCTTAACAATGCGTCTCACTTCATATTAGCTTCCTAAATTTTTGGCTCCCAAGATTAAGATGAGTACCCCTGGTTTATAATATAATATCAAAATAAGTAATTAAGCCAACATTTAATAAATTAGTCAAAAATACCATATATCTTTCTTAAATTCTTCAGTACTATTCAATCTCTTTTGTAAAAATTATAAATACAAATGTGGGTAAGTGGTGTTGTTGAATAAATCACAGTATAAGATGTGAAAAATTTTAATTCATGGTTAAAAAAATCACTAATTCAAAAAGTGATTTAGTGCGAAGGCGGTCTGTCAGCCTGTATTGCTAATATATTTTACGTTGTAATTGCTATTAAATTAATTCATTTTACAATTACATCATTAGTGATATAGTAAATTGAATTTTTTTTTGCATACAAAATATTGTGAAATTATAATAAAAATTATCCATAACAATTTAAGAGAAACCTTCTTATTACATTTCAATTATTTAATTGAGTGACATTTTTGAGTTAACAATTAAAAAATAAAACTGATTTAAATCTGTGATTCCTTATACCTAGAGATAGCTTTAAAAGAGTCAAAATATTTTATATTTAAGCATATATAAAAACATAGAATTTTGAAACAAAACTGTTTTACTTTAATTTCTATTTTGTGTTTTTCAACAAATGAGAAATCTTTTAGAGAATTTTTTAATATTGACTTTTACACATTATAAACTAGATTCATTTTCCCACCAGAAAAGTTACTTTAGTTGAAAATCAAATTTTCAAAGCTTAGCATTGAAAGTTTAAACCAATGTTTCTTATAAGTTGTTTATACTGGAACCTAAATTTCTAATAAAATATATAAACACTATTTTTGTAACAGATATTTAAAGTTCTTAATTCAATTAAATTAGATATTTACCTAGAGAATAACTACTATGTTATTTTATTGTATTTCAAATGTTTTGTTCTCGGGTACTTAAAACTTTAATTGTATATTATTTTAATTTATACACACAATTACATTTTCAAACACAATGTTCTTGTAAATARTATTTATTCAATCAACTATATTTGTAATCCTAAAATGAATGACTTTAATAGCAATTTTACTATAATACGTATATACTAATTAATATAAGATGATATATATAATTTTGTGTACATTAATTTTATTTCATTATATTGAAATTTAATACATCCATTATACTGACCTATATGACACATAATATACAGCAKGCGACACCTTAGTTTTTAAATATTTAATTTTTACTCATTTTATGAATTTGTGTGGAATTCTTAAAATTTTATCTTAACTCAATGTTTTATTTATTTAATACTTACAATTCTGCTGTTTTAATAAATTTCCTAATATTTAGTTATAAAATGTATTAGTAGTGACTAAATGAAAAATGTAAATATTCTAAACATTCTGGCAAATAATAAAGAGAACATATGAAAAATCTATAAACTTAAAAAAATTAATTATTAAAATCAGACTAATATTTTTTTAACAGCTTTATTATAAGAGTTAAAAAAATTTTTGTTTGTGATAAGATCTTTTAATATACCCATTGAAGAATTTTTATTTTGTATTTTCCATATTTGTATGCCTTTTCCAATTCTGATTATTTTTTTCTACCACAAACCTACTTCTTAATAAAAATGTATTAAATAAATGTTAAAATTCCACTAATTAAAAATTCAATGAATGATCAGTACTATACTAATTCAAATAACTATGTACAAAAAAGTTTGAATACTTATCAATTAAAGGTTGTTGTTGCAATATAGATATTTGTATTCGTGATTTGCAAATAAATTAAAAAGTTTTCAGTAAATAAWTCACCTTTAACATAAAAAATTAATAACAAAATSCTATATTAAATATACCATTAGAACTTTAAGACTTTAATATTATAATAATCAGAGTTAGTAGTGATTATACACGTAATTTCTAACAAGTTTATTACTTACTATTTTTTTATTTTTGATAAATATTACAATATTCTTATCTATTTATATGGTAGTAGGAGTAATTTTAATTTACATTTATATGTTAATATGTTTATTTTTATATTTACTAAAAGGGCGTTGAACCTGTAAATTTATAAATAGATAACAAATTAATATGTAATGATCTATAACATTCTTCTTTTCCATAAAAAACCATTTATTGGCAGCTGTCTTACCTAAATATAAGATTTGTCATTATTGTCTTCCTCTCTTATATTTTTAGTCGTAATGCTAAGTAATTATAATGTTTTTACCTGATTATTGTAATCAATACTATTTTCAAAATTATTAGTATTTGTTTTAGAATCAGTATTCAGCAAAAAAAATGAGCATACACTATAACATTTTGTATTTTTTTTTTATGTCTTTTATTATTTGTTCTTCACCAATATACCTATTGATAATTATGGATACTTAACCTAATCTATTTATAATAATCATTGATGATACCATTYACAATACTTAAAACATGAAATATTTTAAGTTGCAAAAAAAATTAAAAATTTGGATCATAAAGAATTATATCATAACTATTTTTGAAGGTCAAAGTTCCCGTGGATCAAAAAAATATAGAAAGCCTAAACAAAAAGATTTTAACACTRCTCAATTAATTGATGAAGAACATTGGAGTAGAAACAGCAAATATGATGGAGATTTGTTTTTAGAAAGCAATTATCGTAAACATTTAAGTCGACATGCAAACAAGTATATTATTTATATATATTTTTTTTTAAAACCTCACAAGTTAATTGTAATTTATATTGCAGAGTTTTATTGCGAATACGTATGTTATATTACATTAAAAGTGATATAGTTGGTGAGTTCGCATTACAAGTTGCTGAAGGTGTTCATGTCAGGTCAGTTAATTATAATTTAATAGAAATTATTAAAAAACAAAAAATATGATAGTTTTAAAATTTTCTGATTGAGAAAATAATCATAAAAAATATATCTTAAATAAAAAATMAGTCAAATTATAATTGTTATGTTGCAAATACTATAGATCATAATGTCAAAATTTCAATTGAATTTGGAAATTATATTTTTATTATATTTTGTATAAACTAAATAATTTATTGTACAACTTGAATTTTGTTATATGCTTATTCAAAATTATATAGTATGTAAATAAAAATACATGAAAGATGAATTAGTAGATATTGTATTTTAAAACTGCTAAATAATATTTACAAAATGTTAATTTTTAGTATTTGAACATTCAAATATGGGAGGTATTAATATATTCTTTAGACAGATAAGTTTAAATGTATATTTTGTTATCTTTTTTTACATTATCAGTGATATTTATTTCATCATATTATGGCTCATTCAAATGTTTTGCAAATATTTTATTTAAACATAAGCTTAAAAAACCTAAAATTAGTTAAGATAATAATTATTTTTACTTTTAAATATATTAATATCTTATGACTTCTTAGCATACATTTAATTTTGATTGTCTTTTTTAGTGCCTTACCGATTAATACACCAATTTGTGATTTAACTCCTGCGCCTTGGTGGGACCGTGACGCAGATCGTTCACTTTTGGTAGGAACGTATAAACATGGTTTTGAGTCCTATAACCAAATGAGAAGTGATCCAGCTTTGAGTTTCCTTGCTAAATGTGGCCCACCGACACTGTATGTATTAGTTTATTATTTTGTGTAGAATAATATACGTGAATTAGAAATAATTAAAATATTTCATTATTTGACTTGTGTTAAAATATTTTAAATTGATATATCAGCGAAGAAAAAGAAACATCAGTAACAAAATTCAATGATATCGAAGAAAGTGCTGAATTACCTTTAAACTCTGAAGAAGTATCATCAGAGCCACCAACTCCTCTAGCAACTGAAGATAACGCTATAGCACCACCAACACCAACATCTACCACAGATGAATACATATGGCCGTCAATTGGTGATCTTAACAACAGGGTTAGACGATTAATAAGTACCTGCCAGAGAAACTTCAAAAAAGAAGAACAAAAGTTGGTGCAAAAAGCTAAGGTTAGTAATATTTTTAAATACAGAATAGTATTTAGACAACATAGTCAAGATTTACCAATTAAAAAAATATTCTATATAGGGAACTATTCTATCCTATTTTAAATTTATGAAATTGTCTTAAGTGTTAAATCAAGCATTTATGCCTTAAATATTTAGCTAATAACCCTAGATATGCTGGCTAAGAAACATTTTCAATTCATTTATATTTATATTAAGTAAATATTCAAAATTGATAGGTTAGAATAGGTAAGCTATTTTTATTACTACTGTGAATTCTGGAACTCCAAAATTGGTATTTGTTTCTATGCAGGATGTGACCATGTATAAATATGATCTCGGATCGCCGAGATCTTTGATGGATTCCATCAGTTCATCACAGGCATTGCCGGTAAATCTTTTTGTGTGTGTCTTGTGAATATTCTATATTATTTTTATTATTTTTTTTGTTTTCGTTTTTTTATTTGATTTTCATTTGAACCTTTCATTCAGCATGACACATAGATTAAAATATTTTGAAATATTTGTTTTGTGTTTCATTATAATTTATTGATCAGTTACCAATTAATAAGTTTAATTTATAAAACTATTATTTTAAAATAATATTAAATTTTAAAATTTTAAAATTAAATTATTACATTAAATTATAGTTTGGTCCTTGAATATATTTAATGTTACTATTTATTTAATAGAATCCTTATGGTAATTGGTGGTTTTGGTGTAGGTTAATTTTCATGAAGTAAGAAGATGGAAAATTAATCTTTGAAATTATTATACTATATCTTCATCAGTACAAATTTGTTGGTCAACTGTCATGCACTTTTGTGGTATATTTTTTTTAAAGTTTATATTGTTCAAAATTTAATACAAAAATTGAAAAATAATTGTTCAGGACACACCTTAAAACATGTTTTATTATATGGTCACGCTATATTTTGTTATTTGTTATTTATTTAGTTAAATAAATGGTAATTACTCTCTTATTCCAAGGAACCAAAATTAACTTTGAATTAATTTACTTAAAATAACTTTTAACTTTAAAGCTAAAAATATGTATGATTTGGGTTATATAAAGGCATAAATGTCTGTATGAATATTATGTTTTCTTTGCGTTGGTTTTGTGTGTGTGAATGATGTCGTAGTATTATTGATATGGCCTTGTGTGTCGTTGAATTAAATTTTTATTTTTACATATATACGCGTACATACACACACATAAACACACACACACAATATATATATTTAAATATTTTATAAACAAAAAATTAACTTGAAATTTCATTTTAATAATCCTTTAACTATTAAAAAATGTTGTGCTGAATTTTGAGAATTTAAGTAAAATATTTGAGTTAAATTGCAAATTTTAAGTCTAAAAAAAACGTCATTTATCATTGTATTTTAGTATTGAAAAAGAAAATTCATTTTTTGAAAAGTATAGATGTTTTATTTTACTCCTTGGAATATTTCTTGAAGTAAAATTGATCCTCTTGATTRTTATAAAATAATAGTTCTAGAATGTTAGATAAACCTATTTATTTTATATATCCTAAAAATACATATTGAATTGTTTATCTTTTTTTGTTTGATTAAAATTATATTTACCAACCACAAAAGTTGTGTGTGTCATTGGTAGTTGACTTGACTGATGAAATTTATTATTTTTATTTGTATGGTAAAAACAAATTGTTACATTATATATCATTTAAAAACTAAAAATGTACTCAGCATTTAATATGTTTGCATCATTACGTTTATTAGTTGCTTAATACACATAACTTTAATGATTCAACATTTTGTGTTCACATATAGCTTGTCTTAAATATACTTAAACTCTTAAAATTTCCATAAATTTAATCTACACAACTAAAAAATATTTTTTTAAATTTTTATATTGAGATTAATTACTACCTTCCTACTTGATGGATTTTTATTTATATTTTAAATTTTTTTATTTACATAGACATTTAATGTATTTAGAAAGCTTTTACACATGTAGTAGTTGGGCGGCTAACATCTTTTTAAGATTATTTTATGATTTAATCTTTATTGAGCGATTATTTATTATTATTTAACTAGACACATCTAGTTGTTTAGAATATTTTTGTAGATTTCTGTAGATGATTTGATTTCTTGAGCTAAAATATAATGTTAATGTTTTTATGTGAAATTTCATTCAATATAATATTATAGTATAGTAGATCTGTTGACGTAGATTATGTCTAGTTGCATGGATGTTTGTGTGTTCGTAGCTAGGAGAATCAACGTGCGCAGCGACGTCAGGTACAGCCCAATTACCAGGAGACGTTGCCAGCCTCCTTGGTACGGGACAGCCCGGATGGGACTGGCAACAACTGGCCATGTATCTTTGGGTTCGTATCTGAGTTCATCAAAATTACTTGTTGGTCATCAAATAAAATGGATTTGCACTAATACTAATAGTTATGGATTGGACTTGCTTTTTAATAATTAATATTAAAAAGTGGTTAATTTGATCATGGGATTTACATTTAAAAAAAATTKAACTATTAACATTATTTACCTAATAAAAATGAATTTTTCTTACAAATTTGTCGGTGAATAAGTTTTAATAATATAATTAAAACAAGTATATCAATACAAATTATTTATTTTTCTACCAAGCTAATGTTTATACCCACATCTTCAATAGTATCTAGGTAAATTTCCAATTAAAACTTATGTGTTTTTATATTTGCTATAGTCATATTTATGATTATATTATATAATATAGTTATTTTAAACTGATCAGATRAAATAAAAGACTTCACATCCAAATTTGTTGTTTCCATTTTGCAAACACCTAAAATCAAATATGTGTTCAGCAGTATATGTTTATATTGTTAATTTAAATATTAAAATGAAATGACCAATCCTTAATTTTAAAGTAATATTATCTGCTTACTTGGAAATCTTTTTTCAATATATTTTTATTTCAATGTGAGTTATGAGTTTGAAAAATACTTATAGGATAACTCTAGGATAAGATATTGTTATTACCTTAATGTTTGATAAATAATTAATACTAACACAACTTGAAAAACTAAACATAAGCTTTGCTATGCTATTCACTTGTAAGATGGAGACAACAAATGTAGAAGTAACATATCCTCTTTTTACTTTAGGAATCCAATAAAATTATAAGCAATACATTTACGTTTTATTTCATAATAACAGCAGTATACMAAAAAAATTTTTAAGGTAGAATAAAATAGGATTTCTTAGTTTCATGGTTAGTGCGAAAATATTAAATAAGAGAAARGTAATTTTAAATTAGGCAATATTAAACATAATAGTAAATGGTTGTGTTAAAAAAATACCAAATTGTTCTTAACATTATATAATAAGACCCATTAATTTGAAATATTTTTTCTATAGTTATTTAATACTACAGCTTAACAACATGAATTTCTTGTGACAGTTTGTAGTTAATTAATAATGCAATTTTATTGGTWAAAATAATGATTAAGGATATATCAGGAGTTGCCAACTTGCAGCTCATGTCATAGTTGTAAGTGGCTCTCATATCATTATAAAAAAAACCAGTATTTACTTATTAACAATAAAATACTATAAAATTATAAAATGTATTTATAAACATTTTGGTATTTGATATCATTGTATTTATCTATGTAGCTCGTGGACGTATTCATATTGGCCACCCTTGGTTTATATTGTCTTACATGACAAGAATTTGATTATACATTATTCAAAATAGATCATATTCTATAGTAATCAATATTGTTGATTTGTCTATTATTGAATGAAAAATTTTCTTCAGCATTATTAATGCTTGTTATACAATTTAAATAATATATGTTTTTTGAATCTGCTGCCTATGAGATGTGAAATTACAATGTATTTGATCAGTGATATTACATTTTTCATTTTAAGTATAATTGTTAAATATTTTAGACATTGAATGTTGTTAAAATTCTTAATTTTTGTAAGCAGAATATAAATAGTAGAGCTATAATTATGAACTAAGTGATGTCATATATTAGTTTATTGTGTACAGTGCAACTTAATTACTTGWTAGTGACAATCTTATACATATTATAGTGAAGCAATCATTTTGAATTTGGTTATTAATTTATTATTATTATTATTTAATTTTTCCTGTAAGTTAATTTAATAAGTATACGAGTTCTTGATTTATATTTGTTACTTGTAAAAAAAATATATGTTTTAATGACTGAATAATATAAAATTTATAATACTTTTTCAGTTTGTACCTAATATATAATTTAAATAAATATAGATTCAAAATGTTTAATTAAATCCAATATTAGTTACCTTTGTAAAACACATAGTGCTTGTCACTCTTATGTTTTTATATTTAATGCATTAATTTACTAATTTTGTATTAAAACAAATTAAGTGAGTACTAAATGTAATTTTTGGGATAACTATGCATGTGGAAAAAAAAACTATTCATTTTATATTATTAAGTTTAAATTAAATGTTTATTAAGTTGGTTGTTACTCATGGCCGCTGTGTTTTATGACAGACATTTCATGTATATTGATGAACGGAAAATCTTGATAAATCTGAAGTGTATTTTCACACAAATTTTTTATGTTATTCTACACTTATAAGTCAAATTTGGCCTGATTTTTAACGCTTGATGCCTGCGTGTGTGTGGATTATCTTAGTTTGCTTTCATTGGCTATTTAAATTAATTTTAGCGCTTTATCAACGGAGCATGAACATCGTTTAGTATTATAATTTTTAATATAAATCAATTTATAATCATTGAATGAATATTAAATATACTTGAATTTATTCACAAAATATAATATCCTTACATTTGTTGGTATTTCTATTGTAAAATATTTATTTGTATATTAACTAATCTTTGATTTTTTTTTTATTATTATTTTGTTTTAAATAGAAGGTGGAAAGACGAGAAAAATATGAACAATTTGTAAGGGAACGTGAACGTCAAAGACTCGAAATAAGCCAGAAAAAATGGACTCGTAAAGAAGAGCAAGAATTTTATAGAGCTGTTACTGCTTATGGTGTAGATTATGACAGGTATATACCGGTTCATAAATTAACGAGAAAAATTTTTTTTTACAACATGTTAATAATTTATGTATTTCAGGGTTTCGAAGACTTATAATTGGACTAAGTTTAAGAGTGTTGCTAGATTAGAAAAGAAATATGATGATACATTAACTGAATATTTCCGCTCGTTTTATGCAATGTGTAAACGTTTATGTGGTCAAACTTTAACAGAAGAAGAAGGTAATTAAAATATTTATGAAAATGTGCTTTTTTTATGTTCAATGTTAATTGTTAATAATTCTTACAAATGATTTTTAGAACTTTGTGATTTCCCTATGGAGATGATAAATGAAGAACGAGCTCGACGAGCACTTGATCGTATTAATTTAATTGTTAAAATACGAGAAGAAACATTGAATCATCCACGTCTAGATGAACGTTTAAAAGGTTGTCAAGTATCTGCTGATGTGCCTGATTGGTGGCAACCGGGGAAACACGATAAAGACTTACTCATTGGAGTTTCAAAGTAATTTTTAGATTACRGCATTATTATTATTATAATAAAATATAAGAATTATATTTTTTTTAATATCATATTGTTATTATTTTAGGCATGGTTTAGGAAGAACAGATTTTTATATTCTTAATGACCCTGAGTTATCATTCAGAGAAATCGTTCAAAAAAATTTGTTATCAGCTGTATCTGGATCGTTTACTACAGAAATGCTTGAAGCTGCTAAATTGGAATCAACTAAAACGGAAGCAGTTAAATTAGATGCAACCAAAGGAGAAGCAGTAAAATTGGATACCGCCAAAACGGAAACTGCTAAATCAGATGTAACCAAACTAGATSTTGTTAAAACCGAAGCCATTGAAGTTGAATCAGTCGATTCTGAAACCATTAACTCTGAAATACCAAAATCTGAAACCGCTAAGACTGAAAAAGTGGATTCAGAAATAAAAATAGAATCGGTTGAGTTACAAGAAACAGWAGTAGAAAAAGTCGAAATCAATGATGWTTCAACTTCTGATAAAACCGAGTCGACAAGAACTGAAACTATTGCTGCTAATATAAATGGTGATTTAGTGAATACTCCTGATAACAAAGCAGAAATTCCATCAAATGAAGAACCTAAAGAACATTTGGATTTAGACAATGAAGGAAGTGAAAAACCAGATATACCTGATGATAGTAGTAAAGTAGAAGTATCTGATATTCCAAMAGAGCAATTAAATGATAAATCTTCTGATGAAATACCTGATCATCAGAATGAAGATGAAAAATCAGAAAATACTACAAGTGTAGAAAGCAAACAGACTGATGACAAAGAGAAAGATGAATTGAAAAATATTGAAGTAGAAAATACTGTAAAAAGTGATGATGTTGAATCTAAAACTGAATCTATTAAAAATGYCATTAATGAGGTTCCTTCAGACACGATTGTTAAATTTGATACTAAAGTTACTGAACCCGTTGTTAAACCTAAGGAATGTTCATCATCTGTAGAGAGTGTAGATAGATTAAAAGCTATGTTTCCAGAACTGGAAGTTGTACACAAAGATGTATCTAATCCAACCATTGATAAATTACCAGTGCATAAGCCTCTGCAACAGATTGACCAAACAATTGCTCATCTCTTAGCAACTAGCTATCAAAATCCAATTAAATGGCCTAAAGTAAGTTAACTAATGATTTTAAATATTTATTTGATATACATTTGTAGATGTTTAATTTGATTGTTTATATTAACTAATAGGAACATGCACTAGTGGTCCGTCTACAGCATATAGTAGAGTGTGTTGAAACAGGTGAATGGCCTGTTAGCAAGAAATTTTCTGCTTATGCTCAAAATCCAAATATGTGTGGAATGGGAATAGAAGAAACTGATATAACTGTTTCTAAAAGAGATGTTGGTGTATCTCATGATCATTTAAATTTATCCGATATTCATAATGAACATTCAAGTTTGAAATCTAATAATATTATGGCTCATTCAAATCCTAATTTAAAACGTAAACGTCATATTGCTATTGATGTTGAGACTGAAAGAGGTACTTTCGTTGATTTAACTTTCATAATTGTACCTAAATAGCTTATATTTAAACATATTTAAATTGTTACAGCTAAACTGCATGCATTATTAAATACAAACTCTATCCCAGCTCATCCAATCAAACACTCTCCAGCTCCTATGTGGGAACAAACAGATGAATCACTTTCTGAAGATTCAAGGTTAGATAGATTTTAGTTTTTCAGAATATTTACAAATATAATATATTAAACATTTATACATAGGCGTTCAACTCCAGTTACACCACAACTCATTCAGCCGCCACCAGCTCATCAACAATCTCATAACACACCTTCACGATTAATGAATTTGGGATATGATCTTAAAGTGTTGAACAATCCAAAACCTCCAACTACTGTTGCTGCTACAACACAATCTACTGGACCTATGGATTTATCTTCTGGGTAATACATAATATCAAATTAAACTTAAAAAAAAAATACATCCTTAATTTATCAACAAGATAATTCTTAAGAATAAAAAATACCTAGATCATTTTAACATTTTCTTCTAAAATTAGTGGTGCTACGCAAGTTGGATGCATGGATTTGAGTTCAGGACCAAGAGCAACGTCTGTGTCTATCAATGAGGCTCAAGATTTTTCAATGCCATTCAAAAATAAACCTGTTCAAAATATAACTCAAACGTCTTCATCTACACCTCCAAAAAGCAAATTAGATGACATGTTAAACAAACTAATGCAAAAAAAAAATTGTGTTCGCACACCTCGCGTAAGTTTAACAAATAATGAAATGATAAACATAAACTTATAATTTAATTTAAATAATATTATTCCATTTTTATTTTTAGCCTGCTGATGAACCCGTTGTTGGGAAGGAAATGAAACGCCGTAAACTAGATGAAATTGTTTTTGGTCTCTCTGCTGCCAAAGAACAGCAATCGTTACCTTCGTCAGAGCAGAAAAAACACTTGGCATCTACTTCTACTGCTCACAATTATCCAACCCCTTCAAATAAATCACAACAAAATATGACACAACAAATTGGAGTAGCTCATAGACAATCTGGTAAATTAGATCCACTAGCAGCTTATTTATCTTCTCAAGTTCATGAACAGCAATCTAATTTACTTAAGCAACATACAACATTACAACAGCAACTTGCTCAACAGCAACAGGTAACACAATTTATTGAACTAATTTTTTCTAAAATTTAAGATTAAACTCTTATTTTTCACTCCCAGGTATTAAAAATGTCTCAAGCATCAAATGCGTCGTCTGTATCTCAAACACAACGTAAAATGTATGAAGCAATGATGGACAGTATGGCAAAGAGTACTGCTGAGTATTCGGGGAAACTAAATGCTTCATCATTTTCTCAAGAATCTAAAGTATTACTTATTTTTTTAAACAAATAAATCTTGATAAAAATATTATCTTAAATTAATCAATGTTTTAGGTTAATAAATGGTTAGCTGAACAAAACGCGCTAATGACTGACCAACAAATGTCTGCAGACTTTTTATCAGCTCCAAGAAGGAGGCGGCCAAGGGTAGATCCTACATTATTGGATTGGAAAAAATTAACTGGCGAAGAAAATGTATCTGTTATAAATAGAACAACAGGAAAGAAGGTACAGTGTAATGAAATAATATTTCTTTGATGTTTGTTTATTAAAATTAATTGATATTTTTAAATTTTAATATTTATAAATAATATTTAAAAATTTTTTTAGTTAACTGGTACAAAAGCTCCACAGTTGAAAAGGATTGGACAATGGCTTCTTGAAAATCCAGCTTATGATGTAGATCCTAAATGGGCAGACTTAGTTAAAGAACGTGGAAACCTCACTCATGATTTACAAAAGCGCTTACCTCAAACAGAACGCAAAAAAGGCCCTGGTCGACCACCAATGCAATCTGGAGAAAGCCCATCTAGTCAATCTTTATCGGCTAATCAACCTTCAACATCAATGGCACCAAATCTTTCTTTTCCGTCGTTGGCATCAGCCGGTCTTGGTGGATTAAATCCATCTACTTTGTTATCAAGCTTGTCCATGGGAAATTTTGACCCTAAAAATAATCCTTTGCTAATGCCATTTAGTGGATTGCCAAATATTGGTGCTTTAGGAGGTATGGGAGGATTGAGTAATATGAATTTAACCAATTCCTTATTTGCCAACCTCGCTGGTCTAGGCCTTCCTGGCTTGGCTGGTATGGATCCATCGAGTTTAAACGATAGTTCTCATTCAACACAAAGTCCACAGTCGAACTCTAAGTCTTCCAAGTCCAGGAAATCAGAATCTAATAGTAAAAATATTCCATCCTCATCAGCTAATGTACCTTCAAGTATGCCTGGTTCGTTGCCATTTTTCTTTCCAAATCCTAGCTTGTTATATACGCCTTTGGGTTTGGGTGGATTAAATCCATTTTCATTGCAACCAGGAGCTATATCATCTGCATACGATAGTCTTTCGTTGTTGAATGGTAGYTTAAACGTTTCATCACCTAACACTTCTCAAAACTCACTTTCTCGTCATAAAACATCAAGTAGCCGTGGTCAAAATTCTAATGTTAGCACTGTTACATCGTCTAGCCARAGACAACCAAGGACCAGTACACATCATCTTCCATCACCAACTCAAAGTTCTACAGATCTTCTTGAGAATTTAACAAGAGCTGGGCGTAATTTACCTCCTCCAGATTTATCAAAAACCCGTAATTCAAGAGATGTTGACAATTTGCGTTCCCTAATGTCAAGTATTCCATCATTTAATGTATTAGCAGCGGGTACTCTAGCAAGTGGTAATGATTCAAAAAAAACTAGAGAGCAAGAGATGAGAGAAGCTCTTGAGAACTTAAGTAAAGCTTCACCTGAGCTATTTGCTCGTTCATTGCCTGATGACAAAAAATTTAGTTTCCCATCCATGGAAATGATTGAGAAAACTTTAAAGAGACCATCGGATCAAAATACATCAAATGAAAGACCAAACAAACGAGCTAAAGATATGATATCACCAATTACAATACCTGTTCCTCATACTATGACAAAATTACCATCTATTAATAGGGAAAATCTATCAGAATCTGGTATTGATTTATCCGGTACTATTAAAGCTAAATCTCCTGAAAAACAAAGAGAAAAATTTAAAAAAAATGAGAGAGAAGAGAAAAATTTAAAAAAAATGAGAGAGAAGAGAAAAATTTAAAAAAATGGATATTCCTCAATCCACTAATATAGACGCGGAATGTGATTCACAATTATTAGATAAATGCGATTCAGAAAGCATAGATATGACAAAACATTATGATGAAAATGATGATAAAAATGGAGGAAAAAACCGTAAAAGATGTCGATTAAAGAAAACTTCTGTTGATGAGAATGTCGAGCGTAAGAACTTACGAAGTAATGCWGGCAGAGCTGCCGCAGCTGCAGCTGCAAGAACGAAGTCGCATTCACCATCGCCAACACCAGAATAATGGATTTATTAAAATTTCCTAGCTACGTCTCGAAGAGGTTTAAAACCATTCTTAGTATTTGATGCTCAGATAAGCATTTCTTGATTGTTTTAATACAATTTTTTTTTCTTAAAAGTATTATTTTTTTTTTTAAATAGTATTTTTAAGATATCWTTTTCTTATTTGGTTTGACGTTTAAGTTTTTTAAAAATATATTTGTTTAATTCTTGATTACTTCAAACCTTAAGCTCAAATTTGATATTTGATTTTTATAATTTTTGTTCAATTGAATTTATCATCTAAAAGATAAGTGCCGTTTTACTATAATAGATCATTTTGAGGCATCCGTGATGTAAATATATTTTATTGCTCTCTAAAATTGAAAAAGAATGAGTAAACAAATCTATTTTTTAAAATGTCGATTCCCTGATTTTTTTTATTATTTTTTTTTTAAAATTTTGTTTAGTGATTTTTTATACAACTGTGATAGTGTATTTTCAATATGGTGAACTTACACTTAGTAGATGTATTTGTGCATTTGTAAAGAAAACTTATACTTGTACTACACATATAAATTATACGTTTTCTTCCTGGTCAATAATCATACATATAAATACATATTTTTATTTTTTCCGACAATTATCAGTTTTATTTTTAAACTAGTATTCTGTTGCTAGTTAATTTTTAYCCTTTTTTGAGCAGCTAGTGTGTCGCATACGCACACACAAATTTATGAATGTTTATGTAATTATACTGGTATTTAGTTGTTAATAACATTTTTTTTTAGTCATGTGACCACATTTCCTCAGTCACCATTGTTTATGTATAACCCCCATACATGTTCGATGTATTTTATGTGTAACCTATTTTTGTATATATGTTATATAATTCTATATAAATATGTGTATACATAAACAAATAATATAGGTAAAAAAAAAACTTTTTAGTTTTTAGTACTATTGTTTTTTTTATTATTATTAAATTTAAAATAACATTTTTTTTTTTTAATGTACATTAACCATATTCTGGATCGAAGATTTAGGATGAGTGTGATGAGTATTACATACATGACCTGAACAAAATCAGCTTATATAAAATACAAATTAGGTGAATGAATATGTACTTCAGTAATATTACTTTGTAGATTTAATTGCAGGTTTTTAAGGTTTTTATCTACATTATAATATAATGTTATATGTGTATAAATATATGTGTATTTATATAGATGCGTATTTACACTTATGTTTATGTACATAATGTACTTTGAATTATGTATGTTGTATGATTATGTAATAAAAGGTAACGTGGAAAATTTAAAAAAAACATCACAAATGTTTTACGACATTTTTAAATCAACCGTAGAGGTACTTAATATTGTATTTATAATAATGGGGTTCTTTTATTTCATTTGACAGTGTTTTCATCATGTGGTGGCCTTAAAATATATATATATATATATATATATATATTTATATGTACCATATTCTAACTTACTCAAACCTAAAGCTCTTTTACATTTTTAATTAAATGGTTTAGGTTGAGGTGGTTTTTATAATATGCTAGAAGTTTAACTGTCTTGAAATGTGTTACAATCATTGTGGATAGATGACTAATACTTTAATATTAATTGTTAGTTTACATCAAAATACACAATTGTTAATAAAATTGTCTAGTTATCTATCCAAAGATTGTAACGCAAATTAATACTAATTTCATTTTTTTTTTTTAAATTAAATACATATCTGCTCTTAATWACATCAACTTTAAATGTGAATTACAGTACCAAAATATAAAGGTTTAATAATAAGTAAATTGATCTTTTTTTATGTTAGTTAACTACTGATGGAAATTATTAGGAAAATTGTATACCTGTATTCATATTTCCACGTCATTTTTTATTTATTTATTTATTTATTTATTTATTTATATATTTATATAGACTTAAAAAAATTGCCAACCTTCGATAAAATTAAAATAATTGTTCCTACTAGGAACTTAAAATTGTCAATGTCATTTAGAAACATATGTCGATGATAACCTTTTACTGTTTAAATTGTACTGGATATTATTAATTTGCCCATATGAAGGCTGATATAAGTACCTATATATTGTGCACTGTTTACAGTCAATGTTTCTGTAACATTTTTTTTTACTTGTACAAAATAAAAATTGTTTTTCTATTTTATTTCTATTTATTTCATTGTGTTTAGAGACATAATAATTGATTTTTAATTTCTTTTCAATGATACAAATGAAAAATTATCCAGTTATTTATATATAAAAAGCAAGTAAATTGTTATAAACTTGGATGTATATTTTTCAAGGTGAACATATAAGATAATATACTTCTACACTCATGATGTACTAAATAAATTAACATTAGACATTGATGTCAATAAAAAGAAGGTTGCTTCTTAAGAGTTATCTTAAAATTGTTAATATTAAGAGTATATCTTTTTGAAATCATATTACTTTGTTTTAAACCAAAATAATCCTTCCTTGTGTGGTATTTTGATGTTACCTGTTATCTAAATTTTTCCATGTAATTTGACATTTGTTTCAATCTGTATAATAATATTTGTTATGCTGGTTGACCTAAATTAGAAGATTATGGTAGAAAATGATAATTTAATATACAAAGTATAAAAATTCATTACATTGCCGAATTGGGAGTTCTTAAGTTTCATTGGAACTTGAGCTAGATATTCAAGAGAGTTATGTGTAGAAGAGTAAAAGAAGGGTGCTTTATCTCATTAAAGTAGTTCTAGTGGTTTATTAATTATTATATTTTGGTAATATTGAATATCATATGAATTATGATTCATAATTGAGATGCATGAACTTGTACTAAGCTAAATTCAATTGAAAGTAGTGAGTAATTCTAACCTAAGATGTTTGGTTGAATTCTATGGTATTTAAAGTACATTTTGTCTTCCAAAATATAAAATGTGATTTATTGTCATCATTTAAATTATACTAAATTATGGATATTGTCTTTGTTAAAATTGATCAAAAATTTAAGAGTGCTAATTAATATAAATAATCTTAGTTTGTATTATCGATTTGATTTAAATCTGGTTGATTATTATAAATTGAATTGTTAATTATTTTACTAGTTGCAACAACGTGTTACCAGTTATGTACGTAACATGTATGTAGAAAACTTATAATTCTAGTCCACAACCTTAATTATTTATATGTTAGCAATTTAGCACTGTTAAATGATGTGTTGAATATCATAGTTTTATATTTTTAGCAATATTGTAATATTTTGATCTTTCAAAAATATTTTATTATAAATGTATAAGTATATTTTCCATTCAAGACACATGTTACTCGAATATTATTGTTCTTGGATGGGTCACCAGTCAAACATGAAATTAGGTAAAAACATGGACTATAGGTATATATGATGTCGTATAGGCTGCATAAAAATTAAACAAATAATAAATTAAGAGCACTTTATTTAGACACTGATGTCCAGTGGCAACCTAGTCACATGGTTACCATACTCTGRCTTTGACACTGGTGGCCATTGGTAATCCTGTCACATGATCACCACCAACTGACCCATTTTCTGTCTAAACACATYGTTTATTTATTAGTCTTACAATAAAATACTATTGACTTATATTGATATTTGTTTTAACCTAGTTACATTTTGCTCATGACCTACATTATACTTAATTGCATGTTTTCATATTATGTTTGTGGACTGTATAGTGTTTTAGACATTTTGGTTTACTATATTTTACCTATAATTGTTTTCTTAGCTAATTTGTACATATTAAAAGTTTTTATTTTTACATTCTTTTAACTTATYCTTGTATTAAATGCTTTATATAACAGTGACTAAACAAATATTTACATTTTTAAATTCTAACAATGTATATATGGTGTTTAATTTTTGCATAAAYATAATATGTGTCTGATTTTAAATCAGGTTTACATAATATTATACAAAGGATTATTAAAAAAATCATACTTCAAACTTACCTATACTTATTTCAAAGATAAGGTTTCTTGTAATATTAAAGCTACCTATGACTAAAGTTAAATTTAATCAAGCAGAAAGTATACTAAATTGCTAAATAAAAATGTATACTTTTTGACAAAATTTATTTTAATAGTTTTTCTGTWGGCAATTCTAATAAATGATCAATTAAATTTGAAATGCTAACAAATTTTATTACTAAAATATTCAATTAGATAATTTTTTTAAATAATTATAAAAATGTTTTTAACATCAAGTTTCATAATAAGTTGATTCACTCTAATTTTTAAACTAACAGAACTAAATGTGATCTGCTGAGCGTAAATTTGTTATGTTATGCCCATGTAAGACGGAGACAATCTTTGTGTATAGCGTCCTTTAAATAAATAATTTTGTTTAAACTTAAATTTAAATATTCATAAAAAAACTGTGTTCACATTATATTAATTAGATTACTTTTAAAGTCTTATAATCGGGCAAAAATTATTTATTGACAATAATTTTCTAGAGTCATTTATTTTAGAATTAAAACAAAAGGTTGTTCGGTGAGAAATTTAAATCAGCAGGCAATGTATTAAATGTAAAAATGAATTTTTCAAAAATATTAAGGCGACTTTTCAGTAGGATTTTTTTTTTGAAAATATAAAAATTTATGAAGAATCTTGATTTAAATTTTCAAATCTTAGTTAGGTATATGAAGGATATTTTATGATTTTTTCGAAATCCAAAAAATGTTGTCACTAAAAATTAGTTGTCTAGAGTTCTATAGAACTATTTGCCTATAGACATTACTTTGTAAGTATTTAACACTCATTTATACAAATATTGTCATGGATAGCTAGGGCCGTAACTAGGAATTTTCTATGGGGAGGATTCATTCCTCTTTCATACTGCCTCTTATAGGAATTTCCTGGTAACCCTATACTAAAATGCATTCTATGGCTGGAATTAATTTGTCTGTTGTCTCTATTTTGTTTTATTATTTTAACTTTTATTAAGTATCAGAATGCAATTCACTACAGGAACTATCAATACCCCTTTAGCACTATATTATAAATTAACTATAATTTGTTATTAAATATTTTAGTTAAAAAAAAATTATTTAAAAAATAAACATTTTAAAGTTTGGGCTTRGGAAGGTTTGGGTTTATATTTTTACATTTTCAGCTTCGTTAAAGCGTTGGGTGTGAACACCTGGTGACACGCTTATTTGTGGAACGTGACTGTATTTAAAATAATATGAAATTTATCAGATTAAATTAAATTTTTGAAATACAAAACGTGCATTTTTACCAAAAGTATAGAAATTTATTAACTATTAAGAGCGTGTCGTTGTTTGAACTCATCGTCACAGATTTGATGTCTGAAAATACAATAMATTTTTCATGTTTAAGTCATGGGGGATGTAATTTCATTTACTGTAGACTATTACATTAGAATGAGAATGAGGCMATTTTCACAACAAGAAAATAAGAAGAAAATTGCCAAATTCTCAAAAACTAAAATATATATAAAAAATAAACATTTTTAAAACACAAAACTTGTTATACACTTTGCTTATGTTTAAGTTTGTTATGTTTGTGTCAATGTGTCATTTTAATTTTGTTTTGTATAATCATTTTCGTGTGCGTGTAACGGTGCGGTCCGCAGTTGCATCCTTAATCAATTTATAGAATGTTATTATGTTTCCGTTTGTGACCGACCAGCTGCGTGATCGTTATCAATTTATGTTTTTCAAAAGATTTGTTATACGTTATACCCACGAACTRTGATTATTAGACAYCTAGTTAGTCAAACTGTCAAAGTTACTTCACATGAAGTCAAGTCATGCTTTCAGTGTCACAAAGTTTTTAGTTTTTTCAGTTTTAATTATTTTAGTGTGGTGACACTGAAAAACCKTTCGTATCGTTTTCATCGTATTTTGTTTCTCCGTTAATGCCACTTACTTCTTTTCGTTCTTTGCCATCAAGATGTGTGCTTCGCACAATTTTATTCATGTGCAATTGTGCATGTTTTGTTGTTGTGTCGTTGCAGTTGGTGACCACAACCACGCTGCTGTGATTTTGTGAACTTTGTCAAGAAAGTCGTCTGGTATCTATCGTGCATTGCAAACATGAAGTTCGATACACGTCAATTGATCGTAAACAATTTACYGCAAATTATTGATTGCAATTACAATTTACCGCACGACAATTTACTGCAAATTATTGATCGCAAGCCATTTAAAAGCATCAGGCCATCGATTACAATTTACCTCATGGCAATTGATCGGAAAATAACATTTTCATGTTCTCGTTCTTTTACGTGTAAAAGACCATGATAAATAAGCATATACTTATTTTTCTCGCTTAAAACATACTCTAGAAGTCTAGAGTCATAATTTTATGTACAGTACTTCAGCTACACGTAGTTATTAGTATATTGTTTAACGATTGTGTTTTAGCGTTTCATGGTGATCTATGATCTATACAGGGGCGTCATTTTAAGGATGGCAGGGTGTGCGGTTGCACCACTTACTTTTAGAATGTTACAATTGGTCTGCGCCTTGCTGTAGCCTAAAATAATGCACGAGCCACAAATGCACAATTATTTATATGATTAAAATCAAATTGTAATAACCGGTCTATAATGTATGGAAATAATTGAATGCAGTATAATATACATGTATGTATATCTATTTTTATATGGCCTGCTTTAAACTTCGCTCACCCGAAAAAAACGTGAATTGACGCCCCTGGTTCTATACAATTAATAGAGAAAAATTCGGACTGATAAAATAGGGTACGAGTATGATGAAATTTAATCGTTATCGATCGAATAATATTATGAAAAAACACTATTTGCCTTAAAATACACCGAAAAAACCTATATAGCCTGCTTTAGCATGGTTTGCGGTCATTTGTCGGGCGGTCAATTGCTTATGATTAATTGATGGTACACCCATTAAGTTGCAAAGATTCATTTTAGACATTCCTACTTTAGGTTGTTCGAAAATTACCAGCAATTTGTGTTTGTGATTCAACGTGGTGTGGTGTACCTCTTGGGGAYAGTAGTGTCAACACTGACTTTGTGTTCCTGTCCTGGACGCACTCATTGTGAATTCTTCGTATATAGTTGTAGGCACACATACGCACATACATAGCAGACAACTGAAACAGCGATTCTAGCACTCACTGGTTATCGTAGTAACTAAACTATCGATAGTAAGTCAATAAAATCTATTTTTTTCTATTTTTTAGTGTATCTACTATTTGCTATTTAGGCATTTAGTATTCTTATTAATTAATTATTGTTTGATAGGTACTTATCAATTGACATAAAATTAATTACTGTACACCTCAACATGAAACATTATGATGGTAATGTAATAGATAATATTAATTGAAAAATATACACATAATATAATATGGAATATTATGTCATAATACTTAGGTATACATATTCGCAATAAAGAAAAAATAAATCAAATAATTTTAATAGGAGCATAACTTTTTATTGGACTATAAACAAAGAATAATACAGTTAATATTAATACAAATATAATATATTATATACATACATTTATA